GGAGCATTATTATCATTGACCACCAATGTAAGGAGCATTCTTATCACTGACCACCAATGTAAGAAACATTCTTCCCACTGACCACCAATGTAACAAGCATTTTTATCACTGATCAACATTGTATGGAGCTTTCTTATCACTGACCACCAATGTAAGGAACATTCTTATCACTGATCAACATTGTATGGAGCTTTCTTATAGTGACATTCTTTCACCTGACCATTACACTAATGTCTAGAGAATGTATATAGTTTCCTGTTAGAGGGGGTTTCCCGAGTCTGGAAAGTTATTTCAAGGATCCCTCCTTGTTAAGTATGTGCAGGAAGGCTGAATTAGATTCTCACACTTCATGGTTGTTGGAGATGTTACAAAGATTGTACTATGTGTGGCAGATTCAGATTCAATTGCCTGGTAACTAAGCAGACATTTGTAGATCTAGAGCAATTCTAATGTACTCCATCGCATAAAAATTGCATCTCAGTTTTCATGTGTGCTAGTATGGGGAGATTTTAGAAGGATTACAATGCAGCAAGATGAATCAGAGAATCAGAAACACGGGGACACCTGTAGTGTGTGTGCTTATACACAGTATATAAATATACAATATTTATCCTATAAGAATCTTGGTGGCATCACCATAAAAGTCTCAACTGTACTCCAAATCACATCACGCATGCTTGTTAAAAAGTAGGTACCATGGTTTTTTCACTACTTACTGACAACAGTTTCTCAAGCCCAGCTTCAACTATTACTACCCAACAGAAGTGACAGCACACATTTCCTTAGGTTCATTTGGGGATAGTAACTTCACATACTAGTCATAGCCAGAGAAAGTCCAAAAATACAGTAACTTGAAATCCTAGTAGAATGATGCCCATAACAGTACAAACCTGGAAAACCTGCTAAAACCTCAAACACAGAACATGGATTCCCTCTTTCCTCAAGACAGCAAATGCAAGTACAAGCACACAAGAACCTCACAGTGCACTGGACAAGCAGCGGTTAATACAACTGCTTTGCAGCACTGGGGACATTGGTTTGAAAACCCAGTCAGGTCACTAACTGCATGGAGTTTGCATGTTCTCCCTGTGCTTATATGGATTTCTCTCTCCTTCCAGGTACATGCTGGTTAGTTAATTAGCCCTAGTATGTGATATACAGATCTTAGATTGCAAGCTCCTTGAAGGCAGGGACTGATGTGAATGAAAAGTTTGTATGTAAATTGAGTAAGTATGTAAACTGAAAGAGCTATATAAACACTACAAAGAATTGTGTTAATCAAAAATGTATGTTTTCACTTGCAGCAGGCATTCCATGTTTTCAAGCTGAAACTGTTGAATGCTGCAGACTGATCTATGGAATTAGAATCCCCCTATCAACACATCCACTTTTTGCTTTTTTCATCTCAAGTTTTTAATAAAGACACTTATATATGAAATGTAATATAAAGAAAAATGACACACAAGTGGAAAGTGGGACTTATTGCAATGAGAATGGTTTCCTACATTCTGGATAATTGGTCCCAGAAGCTCCAGTTAGGTCCAGCCTAAAGGAAGTATTCCCAAGGCATGGGATGCGGTTGCTATTGGAAGCATCTCCAGTTCCCATAGCTCACCCCATGTGTATTCAGCCAACTTCTGAAAACTATTCTTAAAAAAATGGCATGTTCTACTGTATAGGAATATATAGATTTAAAAAATGTGACCAACCTAGTAGACTTACCTGTCCATAATTCCCACCTGGACTGCTCACTTGTATTGTAATGGAACTTTCTGCTCATTTCTTCCCAAAATGCAGAAGAGTTTGAAGCTGATCCCTTGTTAATCCATATGTGTGCTGACAGGGAAGGACGTGTCCATTATGACAACCCTTGGAGTACTATGTAAGGCAAATTCTTGTAGAAGAGATAAGGCAGAGGCAGCACACAGACTCGCAGGCAGCCTGACAGCTGAGAGTACACCACTCTACTGAGCCAGCCACATTCCAGGGACTGGGAGCGCTACACCAGAGGGACACTGCCACCTACTGGACACTTTGTATTCAAACACCAGTCTGACCTGCTGACTGTTCTCTGCATGATTCCCTGTTCTCTATCTACAATACTAGAAATTCATCTGCAGTTTTTTTTGGTTTTTGCTTTTTTTTTTTTGTCTAGAAGCATTACCCATAAGACTTTAAAAATGTGTAAGGCTATAGAATAACTACAGTAAGTTCTTGGCTTTCTTGCTTTTTCAGACATGCTACAGTTCTTATCACCTTCTGTAAAGCAATCCATGTTGGATCACTTTTCAGAGAGTGGTGTAGCAGCAGCAGTACTGCCACCTACTAAAGCCTGTTTTTTTTTCTTTGCTTTGATTTTCAAATGGCCTAATGGCAATTTTACATTGTGAGACCACACCACAAATGCAAGCTGAATATTTGGCTTGCTGTTGCGGTGCCGCCCCAGTAAATGCAAAAGGGAAGTTTGGTAAGCAGTGCCACTTGTCAAACGCTGCACCCTGAGTTAAAGCATCACCGCTCTGTCTGCAAAGCATCATCGCTCCAGCATGGATACAGCCCTATTCAGCTGTCATTTGCCCCTTGGCTAGGGCTGTCCCAGCTTCAATTCCCACTAGTGCAGCACCCAGACAAACTGAGCAGACCCTCTCAGCAGCAGCAGCAGTGGCTGGGATCCTGTGAAGTAGGGTGGGCTTTTAGCATTGCAGCCCTCTCTGGCTGGGAACTTCTCCTGGACAAAAACCATGGACTCTGGTCTCCAGACTATTTATACACTCTCCATCCACCATCTGGACAAACCTCTCTAGGGATTTGCTGAGGCTGCACAAATATTAAGGCTGCCCACCTAGCTCTGACATCCACTATGTTCTGGAAAGCTCCAGAAAACAGGGGGAAGCAGCTAGACTAGCAGCCTGTAGAGCACGCAGCAAACTACAACAATTTCACACACACAGCTCTGGTTACAGAAGAACAAACTATATTTTCCTACCCTAAAAATCTAGCAACCTGACAAGAACGAGTTGTGTACAGTTCAGGTCAGCAGCCCGAGGGGTGGGGGGGGCAATAAATCCTTGGCTCAGCCACCTGAAAGAGGCCTTACTCATCAAGAGCAAAAGCAGACCTTCACTCCTAAAATGGACTTTCCTGGTGACAACATGGCAGCATACACGTGGTAGAGCCTGGATAGGAAAATTAGGATAAGTATTTGATATAAATTTTTTCTTTTTCTGGTGCCAACATGGTAACATGGTAGCATACCACATGTATTCTGCCATGGCTTGGTGCCAGGAAAGGAAAATACTGTTAGTAATTGATACGATTTTCTGTTTTCCCTCCCTGCAATGCCACTCCCTTCCACAATATAAAAAAAAAAGTGTTTTTCTTTTACATTTTTTTTACTCTAGCCTGCTCCATCTGCTTGCTTGTCTAGGTGAAAATGATGTATCCTGTTCTGTCAGCCGCAATGAAGAACAAAAAAAAGGCGCACCAACCTTGTGCATTACCTTAGTAAAAATCCCATCGAGAGGGAAGACTCTCAGGGTGGATCTGACGCATTTCGAAGGGGGATCCCTTCTTCCTCAGAGCTGACAAAACTGAGAATGCCCTCCTCTATATATAGCTTAAATCTATATGTGAGCTTTCCCATATGGGCTGGACATTGTTTCGAATTTGGGATTTTATATGCCTTATATATTGCCACTTTTATAAGTATATATCTTAATTCAATAAAAATCACTCTTTTGTACTCAGGTAATGCACAAGGTTGATGCACTTTTTTTTTGTTCTTCATTGCAGTTTATGTCCGGCTTCCCCAGCCTTGTGTGAGAGCTGAACAACCTTTGATCCGTTGATGGACAAACTATCACAGTAATCGATCCATCCGCCCACTTCTGATCTGGGTCCCTGACTGCAGGAGGTGTTGTTTTTGGTTTTCACTGCTCTGTCAGCCTCCTGGGATGTCCCCATTACATATCTCAGGGCACTTCAGGTGCACAGACTCAAAGTGGCTGGAGGGTGGACCAGGCAGCAGGTCACTGGGGACTGGCTTGTAGGCAGGTGCAGTCTAGTATCTCCACTGTAAGTGGCGCTTGACTGGATTGGTGCTGCAGCTGTAAAGTCAAAAGAAAATTGGATTCTCTTTGGTTTTCTTGGTTTTCTGAGGCAAGGTTACGCTGCATCCAGGTGACCTTGGTGGCCATCTTGGGTCAGCAGAGCCTTTTTAAGTGCCTACCCCCAGGCTTTGGTGTGCTTTTTGTGTATGGATAGCAAAAAAGGGTAGAGCACTTGTCTGTCAAGGAAAGTGATTAGTGGCAGGGAAAGGTCCTGGACGAGTAGAGACAGGTTAGGGAAACTAGCAAAAACTGTATTGCCCCACCTAGAAACAAAGTGCATATACAAGAGAATTTAAAAGTGAGCATAAAAGTCCATATAATGAGTTAAAAAAGTGCTGCATTCCCAGTCCATACCCAAAAAATCCAATGTGAATGAAACATACCAAAAGATCCCGATAGTAAACAAAATCTTCACCACCTGTGTGCATACACAATCGCACCCTGCTTAACAAATTCTCAGACCTTAAAGAACGGAGGTCTGGCTACGCATAGAGGGACAAAACCGAAATGGATGGATCAAACCAACATCGGTATTCCAATGGGATAAACTAGCACCGGATTGTGTTAATACCTAACATGAAGGAGAAGGTCTCTCATAGTGTAGTTTTAAAACAATCACATTTTATTAAAATATAGAGCCTACTCACAAGTGTAAGACAAATACTAGCACTACAATCTCTACTGGTCCAACACCACGAAGGGTGTGATGTCACCTCTTTAACTCCACCCGATGCTTTTCATCTAATAGGACATCATCACTTGGGCAATGGGGGGGGGGGGGGGGGGGGATAGGGACATGCCATCTTGCATCAAAATCCTCCCAGATGGGCTTGGACTGGCTAGGCTACATTCTGCTCTCGGAGGAAGATGCTGTTGGAGCATCAGAACCAGGGTCCTTGCCCAAACTCAAAAAAAGCCTATGAAAAAGGTACCAGGGGCATCTCATGGGGCCCCCTACTGACCCCAGGACCTCAGGCAGTGCCCGAGTTTCCAAATGGTCAGTCCGCCCCTGATCAGAACCCATTCTACTGTGCATGTTTACACAGAACTGTGAGTGCTCCAGTTGGGTCCTTCTCCATTGGGCTGTTTCCTAAATACAAGTTTTGTTATCTGCAACTGGACTCAATGTGTTTACTGCCGCCGCACCACACTGCACCTACCCACAGGCTGCAAGAACCCAGAAGAGACAGCCAGGGAAGATGGCAGCATGGGACCTAGTGTGTGGCAGCAGAGGAGCACATTTCACAGAACAATGCTGGATTCACTGGGTAGGTGAATTAGTTCTCTGAAGAAAACCTGACACCACTGGTAACAGAGGGGATGAAAAAAAGCAGGGGGAGATTTCCTCCACAATGATGTTGAACAAGAAATTACATAAGTATATTTGTAAGATATTACATGTAATAATCAGGGAAACATTGGCAATATTCTAAAGGCCAAATTCAGGATAAAAGTAGTTCCCTGCCACCCCCCACTATGTGATTTCTGGGTTAAGAAAAAAAAAAATCTAAATCCCCTCTTTGGCTTACCTTAAGACACAGTTAAGTGATCATCCAGTGCTGGGTCCTTCTTCTCTTAGTTTACTTCCTGAAGGGGTCATTCTGGATGTCCACATCACTGTCTGTGTGACATGCACAATTCCAACTGGCCAGCCAGAGGAGGGGTCATCTTAGAATCCATGAAGGGAAATGACTAATGGTAGTGAAGGGGACTGAAAAGTGAAGGTTAACAAGCAGTGTTGAATTAGCAGCCCCCATAGGTAGAAATGGTGTCAGCAACGGACCTCTCTGGGGGGATACAGGTGAGTATTGGCTTGACCAGGTAAGGAAAACTTCACACCAGGCAAAATGTGTTAGAGGGAGACTAGGAGGAAAGTATGGGAAAAAAAAAATAGTTTTTTGGGTAGAGTTGGGATTTAAGCAACTTCCAGCCAAGTAAAAGCATACTTACACTGTCCCAGCTTCCCAAAGAACACCAAGGGGTCTAATTATGAATGTTCTCACACATTTTTCTAATTGGATTTAACTAGTTTATAAATGTGATAATCCTGGAAGGAAGCTGTGAAAACATTTATAAATAGACTTCCATGTGTCTCACCAAAGCATTGAGTTGGTGTGTGCTGGGGAAAATGTAGATATACTACAGTTTGTTTGCAGTACAAAAAATGCATTATGACACATGTCTGAACATTGCAACTCACTGCTGCACATAGAATTACATAGAAATGTAAAAAGAAAATAATAAATGTGTTTAACCACTTAAATTCTGGGCACTTTCACCCCCTCCCTGACCAGGCCAATTTTCAGGTTTCAGTGCTGTCACACTTTGAATTACAATTGTGCAGTCATGCAACACTGAACCAAACTACATTTTTTATAATTTTTTTGAGACAGATAGAGCTTTCTTTGGGTGGTATTTAATCACTTCTGGGGTTTTTATCTTTTGCCTAAAAAAAAAAAAAATGTATAAATGTTATACAGTTTAGCAAAGTATTTTTTCTTCTCCACTGATGTTTTCTGATGAGGCTGCACTGATAAGTTGAACTGATGGGCACTGATGAAGAAGCATTGATGAGGCTGCACTGATGAGGCTACACTGATGGACACTGATAGGTGGCACTGATATGCTGCACTGATGGGCGCTAATAGGCTGCACTGATGGGCGCTGATAGGCTGCACTGAAGGGGCTGCACTGATGACACTAATATGTTGCACTGATATGCTGCACTGATGGGGCTGCACTGATCATCAGGGAACTGATGATCAGTGCCCTGATTATCAGTGTAAATGTCCCTGTCACAGGAAAGCTGGTTATTGGCTTTCCTCAGCGCTGTCACAGCGCTGAGGAAAGGAAATGCCGATAACCAACATTTGTTTACATATGATCAACTGTGACTGGACACAGCTGATCACATGGTAAAGAGCCAATGTCATTGGCTCTTTACCCTGATCGGTGATGCGTTGTACCCCAGGGGCACAGATCACTACCGATCGCCACGCTGCACTGCAAAAATGAGAGAGGTCCAGCCTAGCCGCCATTCTACAATAGACCAGACATGAACCAATTAAACAACTGATTGCAGTACACAGCAGCACACTCAACTCTAGTGTACACGCGTTATGTGCAAAATACATGTGGTGTGAATGAGCCTTCAATATTTATATAGAGCAGCCTTTTTATCACAGAAGAATCCTTGAGAGAATTTTCAGGTCTTGGGGAACCCCTGCTAAAATTAATTGGAGGTTAATGGGAAAAATGCCTCTTACAGTTGATGTCAGTGCATAGAATGCCCCCTTAGAGTGTTGATCAGAATGCCACCCTTACAGACAGTTGTAATTGATGACATGCAACTGGCTCTGCCAAGTATCATTGGCTCTGGAACTATGCAACCACAATCAAATGCGAGATCAATAAGCCACAGCTCAAAGAACCCTTAGCAAACTCTAGTGGAATCCTGGTTGAGAAGGACTGCTATAGAGCATGTAAGTGCTCCTTCTTCTCCCTGCAATTCAGCTACAAAAGGATACCGAGTGGAATTCAATGAAGCCGCTACACCATTTTTTTGGTATTAGTCCCTCTCGGTAATCTGTTGTGCCAAATTCACGAGGAATCTGCAATACTTTTGGTTCAACACCAACTCATGCGCTAACTTGAGATAGTTCTAAAATGCTCCACTTTCATATTATGGCTCAGTGAATGTGCCAAATTCAAAATAAAATACTGAGAGTTTATATTTTACCAAAGGGGAGCTAAATAAGGACTCTCTTTTGATGTCCAGAAAGAGCAACTGGTGCCAACAGATTTTGTAAAAGTGTCTTGCTTACTGTCTAAAAGCAAAACAGCGTGCACCAAATTCAAGTACAGGTTCTATACAGGTTCATGAGTTTGGCACACGCTGCACCACTTTTAGAATGCATAGGAGAAACTTTTGCAAAATCTGAATGATGTCATACATTCCAGAAGTCTTCAGGAGGGAAGGAGGGGGGTTTTCTCAGCTAAGCACACCCTCCTGCCTGCATACCTGAACTAAAGGCAGATGGATTCCAGGAAGTACATGCTACATGATTAATCTGCCCTTACTCAAGATGGCCATAGCCAGAAATGATAAGAAGTGTTTTTCAAAGTGATTTCCCAGCAAAAAAAGTATGACACATGGATGGATGGGTGAGTTTGCCTTGAATATGAATTAAATAAATAGTGATTTTGGTTTGTGGTGCTCAGTTCTGCTTTAACAATAAAAAAGCGGCTCTGGCTGCTATAAATCATACTCCCTCTGGTACTGCGCCCTGCAGACTCATTAGCTTACCAGGGCAAAAAACACAAAAAGTGCCACCACCTAAGCGTAGTATATATAAAAAATTACAAGGAAGAATGTAAATAAAAAATTTCACTCACATTTGTTAAAGGGATAAAAGCATGTATGAACACACATCCACTGGAGGACTGCAGAGCCTGGCAGGGTCACAGCTGGGTTGGCAAAGCAAGGTCCGAGGCCACCTGGATATGTGTGTGGATCCTGTGTGGATCCTGTGTGGATCCTGCTGGTAATGGCACTGAGGCAGTCTAGCTGGGATATGCTGGAATGCTCACATGGACGGCCAGTGTGGAGTAAGTTTTCAGCAGAGCTGAGGCGGACTGGAAATGCAGAGGACTCTTAGTGAATTATGTGGGGGCGTTGTTACGCATTTCAAGGCAACAAGAACTGCCCCTTTATCAAACCATGTAATGGGCTTGGGCAGAGCGCTGGGCAGGCTATTTTTTAAATATTTTGGCAGATAGTGGAAGACCAGAGGTCTGCTGATCTATGCAATCTAAGGATAATAGGTTAGACTTAATTAATGACATGCTGTTTAACAAGAAAACCAAGAAGAAAAATAAAAATAATAAAACTAAACAAAAACAATAAGTGGTACACAAAGGGAGAAAGAAAAGATAATACATTATCTAGAGCAATATGGAGGAAGTTAGACTGATATGCAAATCAATATAGGAGAAATACAAAAATACAAATTATATGAATACCGTATATATATGTATATAGTAATAATCAAGGCATTTGAATGGCAGTAAGCAAATTGATATTTTGTATCCAAATAAGTTAATGTGTATTGTACATGTACCGATACAATAAAGTAATCATCATTTTACCAGTCCCGCTTATCTTCTGAATTAAAAGATACCCTGGTCATTCAATCCATTCCCAGTGATCCCAGTGCCTACCCCCCTAGGCTTCCATCGGTCATTATGTGGTGCCAATCACAGCAGCATTTAGGATTCATCCATTGAAAAGTGATGTCACCGGACCAGTCAAAGACACCTGGATGAAAGGTAAGTATACAGTTTTTTAAGGGTCCAGGGATGCGGTATGAGGAGCAAAGGGTCCTGAGGCTAGAGTTAACCTTAAGGAACATCACAGTACAACATTCGTTTTTGAGAAAACTGCTCCAGGCTTTGTTAGCAACATTATCTTGCACGCCATAAATAAACACAGAACAAGTATTAATCTTGCAGCTCCCATTTTCACCTGATTAGTTGCAGGTGTTTCAAATTATCTAGCAGATTCAATTTAAAATCCAACATAGCCGTGAAATGCATTATTTAAAACTGAAACTGAATCTGCCTAAATTTTGCCTTCCCTGTTTCCTCCCCCTCCATCAATGTATTAATGAAATTTTGAAATAATAACTTTTCATTACATACTTTATTTTAGACCCAATCATGTCATCACTGGGTCTCTGTGCTACCCTATGCCATTTAGACCAGCGTTTCTCAACCGGGTGCCACCTGAGGTCCTTAGGGGTGTCATGGCATCGTGCTTGAAAAAGCTGTCAGATCCACCAAACTCCCACTCTGCCCAATATCACAACAGCAAGAGCTCAGTGGGCATAGTGCAGTGTAAAGCAGTGGCAGGGGGAGACAGCTTTCTGAATCCTGAGCTCTCCACCTCCCCGTACAGGATAGTACCCGGCAGGGGCGGACTGACCATTTGGAAACTCGGGCACTGCCCGAGGGCCCGGGGTCAGTAGGGGCCCCATGATATGCCCCTGGTACCTTTTTCATAGGCTTTTTTGAGTTTGGGCAAGGACACAGGGGCCCCATGATCCCCTATTGCATGGGGGCCCCAT